CCCATGTTCCTGCAAAGGACATGATCTCGTTCTTTTTTATGGCTGCATAGTACTCCATGGTGTATATGTACCATATTTTCTTTATCAGGTCTACCATCGACGGGCATTTAGGTTGATTCCATGTCTTTGCTATTGTGAATAGTGCTGCAGTGAACATATGTGTGCATGTGTCTTTATGATAGAATGATTTCTATTCCTTTGGGTATATACTCAGTAAAGGCATGGCTGGGCTCAATGGTAGTTCTGTTTTTAGCTCTTTTGAGACAAGTTCTTTCAGGGGCAGGTTGGAATATGTAAGTGACCACACATGTAAAATGATCCCTTTCTGTTGGTCTTCAGCCATTGTCCTTGGTCAAGCTTAATCAGTACTCTGTAAAACCTTGAGAGCAGAGACTATGTCTGGTTTTGCTCACTATTATATTTCCTCCATTTAGCAGATGCCTGGCACATAGTAGATGTAATAATTATTGGCTGATGAAAGAATAAGCGAATGAATATTATTTTGTCCTGGCCCTGGTTGAATCCCTTGCCCTGTGGGAAAGGGGCTGACTGTCAAGAAGTGAGGAGATGGCCTTAGTTGTCCCTTCTTGCCAGAGCGTCTCAGCCCCTTGGGATTGACCCCTCAACAGGTGATGAACAGAGATCCAAGAAATAGTCACTTTCTGAGACAACATCTCCTAATCACCAGAGCTTGCTTCATAGTGTATTGAGATGTGCTTCCTGTCTTGGTCTGTCAAAATTTTTGAAATCCCTTCACAGCATGAGTCACACATGAAGTGAGTGCTTGGTGGTGACCATGTTCGCTGATTTGCTTTTGAAGGCAAAATCTGACTTAAGAGCCAAAATAATATATATGTGTGTGTGTGTGTGTGTGTATATATGTGTGTGTATGTGTGTATATATATATATACTTTGAACATCCCTAATGTGAAAATCTGAAATGCTCCAAAATTTGAAAGTTTTTGAGCACCAACAGGATGCCACACGTGGAATATTCCACACCCGACCTCATGTGGTGGGTCACACTTAAAACACAGCCTCTTCAGCACCCCCAGGTGTTCTGGCGATGCTACTGTGCTGCTTCGTTACCCTGAACGTATTATTTTTTCACTGTGTGACTGGAATGTCATTTTTTTTTTTTACTGTGAAGTACTTGTGTGTGTACACATGTCAACAATGATTCTTGGTAACATGCCTATTCAGTCAGGAATGACAGTGATGCCAAACCACCACAGACGTCCACACGCGTGGCTGAGACAGGGTACCTTTGCTTTCTGATGGTTCAGTGTACACAAACTTTGTTTTGTGCATAAAATTATTAATAATATTGTATAATCTTACCTTCAGGCTATGTTTATAAGGTGTATATAAAACATAAATTAATTTTGTGTTTTAGGCTTGGGTCCCGGCTCCAAAATATCTCATTATCTATATGTGAATATCCCCAAATTTGAGAAATTCAAAATCTGGAACACGTCTGGTCCCAAGCATTTCAGATAAGAGATTTCTCTCTCTCTCTCTCTCTCTCCATATATATGTATATATTGATAAACTTTCATAAAACATAAAAATTATTAATGCATATGATTCACACATGATTAAATACTGGGCAGAATACATAGAATATTCATTCTGTCACACAGGACAGGTTGTAATATATATTTAATTATCCATGTGCTAAAATAGTTCATTTTCCTGAATAATGTTTTAATAAAAGTATTTTCCTCTTTGGGGCATTATGTAATAACACACTAAAGAGAAGGTTGGTTGTATTTACTTAACTGGCTCTTGTGCATATTTACCACAAGGTGGCAGTATCGCAGCCCCTCCTTGCTTATTAGGGAGAGATACACACCTCTTAATGTCGAGATAGCAGAGAGACTGTTTCTTCCCCTCAAGTTTCCAAAGTCTAAAATCACATCCATGTGTCCTGATTCGTAGCTAAGTAGATTTTTAAATTAAACACATACACACATAAATCCAAATTATCTCACGCTCACAAAAACTCTCATCTACAACCTGGCCTATATGACGGAATGAATATTCTGCGTATTCTTAGTTAATCACATGTGAATTGTATTAATAATTAAGCAATTTCTTGTGTAAGTAGGCAAAATCAATTTTAAAACTTACTAGTGAAACTTTTAAAGCAGTTTAGAAGGAATAACCTATTTCAGGGGTGGTACCGTTATTGCAGAAAAGAGGCCTCTGTAGTTCTCGGGAGAGAGAATCCATAGGAGGAAGGTGTGCAGGAGGCTGAGGGGAGAGGTGTATCGGGAAGCTCTCAACTATCGCCTTTTGGCTACAAGCATTTACTGATCACTAATCGTTCATGAGTTTATTGTGTAAAAGCTGGCCTTCGACTTATAAGAGCTTATGACCCAAAGCTATAGACAGTAGAGAAAGACACCCAGTAAATAGGTGAGAAGACGATCACTATTACCATGATCTAAGAAGGAGGGAAATAAAGAAGGAAGAAACACTGCTTGTATATGTCTTTCCAGGGGATGAGAAAGAGAGTAGAAACAGGCAGAATGGAATAGGTAAAAGATCGTGAAAATAATGAGATCCAGGTTCTTGCCTCAGTTCTGCCCCTCACCATTCTAGGTCACTGCAGCTTCCTCATGTGCTGAAGGAAACATGGATTTAGGTTTTGGCTTTGGAAGCATTAACAGAAGTATGTTCTGCCAACAGTTTTTATTAATGGGTACTCTTCAGAAAATATTTGTGTTGAAATAAGTGGGGAAAGCAAATTATCATATTGCATCTCATCCTCTCCCCCTCACCCTCAGAAAGTCACAATGTGTGTTAACATACAAAGGCTCTGAGTAGCCCAGCCTGAAGAAACTAGTGTAAGTTTGTTTAACCTAACACTTCAAACTTAATTTGACCATGGAACACAATTCCTCACTTCGCCCTACTCCAAGAAATACCAATTAATACTGTGTAGAATATTAATGATTTTTGGTAGATAATTTGGAAACCACAAATTAAGAGGTCTTCAAAGCCTATTTCAGTTCTAGGAATCTGGATCAGAAGCTCCAGGAGGGTATGGAACTAGATCCAACTGCTTTACTTCATCCCAAGTGCTTGACATAAATGATCAATAATATTTGCAAAATCAATGAATGAACTGTGATCGTTTAGTTCTATCTATTTCTCACTCATTCCAGGAGGCACGGGCTCTGTCTATTCCCCTTCTGAAGTTATGTGCATATCAAATTTAAGCAACTCCAGCTAGAGAAGGGAGACAAGGACCTTTTGTAGTGTAAAAACACAAGGGAATTATGCTGAGTCTTTCTTGGCAATGTGGAGTGTGTCGTCTTGAAGATATTTGACCCTAATAGGATTGCTTTTCCATTTCCTCCTGTTTTCATAAGTCAAAGTCTTATTCAGATTCATCTAGAAAAAAAAATTAGTTGGAAGGAAATGACTGACATCCCCATTCTGAAGATCAAAGAGAAGGAAAGGATCCCAGCGGGAAGGAGAATTAGAGGTTTCTAAGGACCAAGAGGTTCATGAGTGGAGAATGAAGAGAGAGAAGAGGCTTATGGTAGTGGAGGGTGAAGAGAGAGAGAGGGTGAAGAGAGAGAAAGGCTCATGGTAGTGGGAGGATGAAGAGAGAGAAGAGGCTCATGGGTAGTGGGAGGGTGAAGAGAGAGAAGAGGTCATGAGTGGAGGATGAAGAGAATAGGTTCATGGTAGTGGAGGATGAAGAGAGAGAAGAGGCTTATGGTAGTGGAGGGTGAAGAGAGAGAAGAGGCTCATGGTAGTGGAGGATGAAGAGAGAGAAGAGGTTCATGGTAGGAGGACAAGAGAGAGAAGAGGCTCATGAGTGGGAGGATGAAGAGAGAGAAGAGGTTCATGGTGAGATGAAGAGAGAGAAGAGGCTCTCAAGTAGAGTGGAGGATGAAGAGAGAGAAGAGGCTCAAGGTAGGAGGATGAAGAGAGAGAAGAGGTCATGGTAGTGGAGGATGAAGAGAGAGAAGAGGCTCATGGTAGTGGAGGATGAAGAGAGAGAAGAGGCTCATGGTAGTGGAGGATGAAGAGAGAGAGACTCCACAGAAGTGGGAGGCTCCCTGAAGGACAGGGAGATGGTGACTAAGTAATTGGCCCCCACAATTAAGAAAGAAGTTTAAGAAGCTGCTAGAATAAGCTGAGTAAGGTAGAGAAACCACTCCAGGTGCTCTGTATGGGTTATAAGTGTATCTTGAGCAGAAGTAAGGAACTCAGGTGTATTCTATCAGATCCAGTATACATGAGTATTCAGTTAAAAGGAAAACTTTTCTCAGGATCTAGATGGCACCATTCTGCTATTAAAGACATAATATGGAAGGGGCAAACCCAACTCTACTGAAAGGATTAAGGGCATAGAGTGCAACTTCAGGCTACCCCACCCAAAGATATCAGCTGCCTACTGTAAACTCCTTTGGTTAAGGCGGCTCTGGGAGGTGCCTGCTGAAATGCAGTATGTGACCAGAGGAGAAACAGTACATTGACCCAAGAGTAATCCTATTCACAGCACAGAGAACAGGGTCGTAGGACACAAAACACCGGAGAGGTAAATTTTCCTAGGAAAGAGAAGCTGAGGAGCGTGGCACAACGCCACAGGACAGCACTGCACAGGCCCTGGGAGCTGGAAGTCAGGCCCGCGGGTGCCAAGGGCTTGCAGGGAACCCCAAGTATAAGACGTGGGAGACACCAAAGGTATATTTTATCTGCTTAGCCATTTTGTTCACAGCAGATGTAAAAAGAGACAATGTTAAGTTGAAAACAAAAGATCTTGGAAGACAGCCCAGATCTCCCCATTTCTGCTTTATATCAACTGTCCTGTTCTTATTATTTGTATCTAAAAAATAAAGTATTGATGTTTGTAATTATTAAATATTTGTACACAATCTGTACAATATATGTATAAATATAGTTGCAATTATTTTTAAAGTAAATTAAGTCAAATTCAGCATTTCAGGTTATTCTTGTAATTCTTCATTCTTTTTCAGTTGCTTGCCAGTATGATATCTTAACAAGGAGAAAAAGGAACAGGATTGCAATTGGCACTCTGAAATTGCATATAATCTGGAGCCTGTAATATGTCCATCAAAAACAAGTGAGTCTGGAGTTAATAACTGTAGTGATTGTAAATCACTCCATTGCTTTACTTCTCCCCCTCCCACGTTATCTTGAGTTTCACGATGATGTAGGTATCCTATGAGGGTGAGTCATGTGTGCGGATGTCACCTGGCATGTGTGTAATGTGCGAAGAAGATTGCTAACTGTGAACTGGGTTTGTGTCTCCAGCATTCGGACAGAACAACACTGCAGACTTAAAATGAGACAAATCCTCCGGGCATGTGGAGGCCATTTTAAAAGCCATACTAGCTTGTAAGAATACTCTTTAACAAAAATTCCCATCTGTTCAGATACAAGTCAGTTTTACATCCTTGATGTTGCATGGTTTGTGCTAATTTTCCTAAGTTACTCTAACTTAGGAAACAAATATTTCAATGAAACAAACTCACTCCTGAATACCCATACAATACTTTGTATGTGATTATTTCCATTATAGGAAGATTTCAAATAATAAGGAAATAATAATAATAAGGAAATAAATAATAAGGAAAAATAATAAAGAAATACATAATAATAATAAGGATATAAATAATAAGGAAATAATAAGGAATAAATAAAATGAATAATGTTATAAAGGAAGGTTTCAAATATTAAACAGAGTATTGACAAGTATATATACTTAATGTCAAGGTAAAGTATTCATTTTTTACCCAACAGAAAATGACTGTACTCAAAATATTTATTTCATCTGCTTATTTCAGTTCACTTTTAGGCAAAAAACTATTAGTTTGAGTGAAAGGACATGATTTATACTACTGTCCTTGGTTACCCTGAAGATTTAATGTTATGTCAACTTTTCAACATTCAAAGCAGAAAAAAATTCAAGGATCAAATTAATTTTTATTAAGGAGGATTAATGGTTTTTTCCAGCTCCAATGTCACCATCCACCTTAGCCAAACAATTAAAAATAGAGTCTGGGAAGGGCAGGGGAAGGGAGGGATCAGGATGCACAATTACGGATAGAGGAGAAGAGTAGATTCTAGTGTTCTGTACCACTGTAGGATGACTATTGTTAACTACAGCAGTATACCACTGTAGGATGACTGTAGTCAAATGGCTAGAAGGAGAATATTGTCACTTCCAACACGAAGAAATGATAACTCTTTGGGATGATAGATAGGCTAATTATCCTGTCTGATGACTACACATTATATGTATGTAAACATCCCTATGTATCCCATGAGTATGTGCAATAATGATTTGACAGTTAATAAAATAATTTTTAAAAACCCCAAAAGTAAGAAGTACCCATATGTTAGCTTGTTGAAATATTATAACTGTGTTTTTGGCATTTTGAGTGATAGCTATGTACCATTTTGTGCAAAGAAATGTTGCCCACCTTCAAGTTCTGATAGAAGCCCTCAAATCTGTGAATTGGATGGATGGATAAGAATCTTATACAAGCCATGCAATAGGGCAAAGGAGGGGAGACACAGGACCCACTATATATGTGTGGTAGGCAGAATAACGTTCTGATGCACATGTCCCAATCCCCAGACCTGTGAATATGTTACCCTCCATGGAAAAGGGGACTTTGCAAATGTGATTAAGTTAAGGATCTTGAGATCAGGGAGACTATCCTGGTGGGCTCGATGTAATCACCAAAATCCTTATCAGTGGGAGGCAACAAAGTCAAAGTCGGAAGAGAAAAGTGTGATAACAAAAACAGTGGTTGCCGTGTTGTACTTTAAAGATGGAGGGAGGGGCCGCGTGGAAGGAACACGAGAGGAGGTGCCTGTAAACTCGTAAAGCCGGAAACAGATTCCCCCTGGAGCCCCCAGAAGGAATGCAGCCCTGCCCACATCTTGCTTTTAGCTCAGCGAGACCCATTTTAGACTTCAACCTCCAGAACGCTAAGATGGTAAACGTGTTGTTTTCAGCTACTAACTTGGGGGTGATTTGTTACAGCAGCAATAGGAAATGAATACCTATGTGACCCAAACTTCCTTTCTTCTTCTTCTTCGAAGACTCCTAAGAGTTAATAAGAAGTAGAAAGAGAAGTTGGAGTTAAGCAGCTCATTCAAATTCTGATTTTGCCATTTCCTGTCTGAGTGACCTGAGTAAGTTATTTAAACTTTTTTGGCCCTAACTTTCTTCATCAGGAAAAGAGGCCATGGTGAGAGTTAAAGATGGTAAAATAGACAAAATGCCCAACATAAGGCCTGGATGATTATCTTCAAGATAGACCTTCTACCAGCCTGCTGAAGGTTTATTGCATAAAAGTGGTCTACTGGGCAGTTTCTACCTTGTGTTAGAAGCCCCTGGAGCCTTCTGGGCAGATGCCCATCTTGGTCTCTCAGCCTGAGTCAAGGGTAGCTGAGACATGGTGTCCAAACCTGCAAGCTAAGAAGAGCTGAGCGATGCTCCCCGGGGTAGGATTTGTAGTCTTACCGTCACCTTGTATGTTCATAGCATACCTTGTGAACTTCTGGCCTTTCCTGTCTCACTTTGTCTGTCTGTGACCCAGGGATGGTACTCTCTCATACCCAGCAGCACTGCAAAGAAGGTGAGAAGCCCAGGTGTTCACAGATGGGGCACGATTACACTTGGAAGCAGCTGCCTGGGTTTTGCAAATTAAATCCTGAACTTGTGGGCTGCATGTCTCAGGTAGTGCACGCCATTGCCCGATTGTTGGTCTAGGTCCTGAGCAAGCCCGTATTTGTTAGCAAATAAGGCGACCACGTTTCCAGGCACGGGCTCAGGTGGCCTGGAGAGCATGAATCACTTTATGAAGCTGTTTTCACTAGAGAATATGGAGCAAACCCAGATAGGCAGGATTTGGTTTTCAAAACACATTTGAAAAGATAACCCTTAAGAAATGAAGGTAGTTTCTTTGCTCATACGTGAAATCTCATAATCTTTCCAGGCACAGGAAAGACAAATCTTTGCTGGTAAATTTATTCAGGGGGACTGTTAAAGTTTGACCCTTGCCATTATGTGGAATTTGAAGAAAATTGGTCTTTGCCATATTGTTTCCTCCAATCTTTATTTTTGCTTTGTTTTGTATAAATGTATGAGGTGGAAATGTAGTTTTGTTTCATGCATAGATTGTGTAGTGGTGAAGGCTTTTAGGGTGTCCATCACCCGAATAATGTACGTCGTACCCATTAAGTAATTTCTCGTCATCCACACCACCCACTCTCTAATCTTAAAAATCGTGTCTTAGTCATTTTTAGTAGATTCAGAGAACAGAATTCACTACCGTAATCAACATGGATTATTACATCTGAATGTCCTGAATCCAAATCTTAAATCGAGTACATTCTACCCTCAACAATGTTAATTTGACTTGTATTTAATAATCTGTATAATTGCTGTTGCTCTGTATGGTAATTAGGCATAAATGGTAAGCAGTTTCTATAAATTCCTGTAATTGTTATTACCCATGTTACTACCAAGCCTTATTTTTATGACATTTTTGCATCTAATTTGTTAGCTCAGGGTGATGTATAAAGTGTCATTGTCACAGTTTAGATTAATTTAAGTTTAATCAAATACAATGTACATTCTGGTTCTCCAAGAAGCAGATGCCAGGATGTGCATCAATGTGCATAAGAAACGCCTGTGAAGGATAAAGGGGAGGGGACAGCGAGAGTCGTCAGACCCAGATGCAGCCTCACACCTGTAGAGGAGACCGGAACAAAGGAAGATTGGATAGGAAGAGTCCCAGACTCTAGAGCAGTTTCAAGAAAGCCTTGGCCAGGCCTCTGGGATGTCCTTGAACCCAGGCACCTGTTAGAGGAGCCCAGATTCTCGCAGGAGTGGGCCTGCACTTGCTCCCTGCTGTGCTCGGGGTTGATTGGGAGAAACTGCTGACAGCATGGCTTAGGTTGTGACATAGCCACAGTGGTGGACCCAGCAGGGCAGTGGCTGGGGTCATCGGTCAGCTCTGCCCGCCACAGCAGAAGAGCTGAGTGTTGCATTTTCTTTTTTTTCTTTTTTTTTTTTCTTTGGAGATGGAGTCTTGCTCTGTTGCCCAGGCTGGAGTGCGGTGGCCGGCTCTCAGCTCACTGCAAGCTCCGCCTCCCGGGTTCCCGCCATTCTCCTGCCTCAGCCTCCGAAGTAGCTGGGACTACAGGCACCCGCCACCTCGCCCGGCTAGTTTTTTTGTATTTTTTTTAGGAGAGACGGCATTTCACCGTGTTAGCTAGGATGGTCTCGATCTCCTGACCTCGTGATTCGCCCGTCTCGGCCTCCCAAAGTGCTGGGATTACAGGCTTGAGCCACCGCGCCCGGCCCGAGTGTTGCATTTTCATGGCCACCCCACTCTTTCTCCACCCATACACACTGGCACATATTAAAAAGCAAGGATTTTTTGCTATTCAGAAGCCCTTTAATTAAGTCTCACCTATTTATCTTTGTTTTTGTTTTTTGGGTCCTTGGTCATGAAGTGTCTGCTTAAGCCAATGTCTGGAAGGGTTTTTCTGATGTTATCTTCTAGAATTTTTATACTTCCAGGTCTTAGATTTTAAGTGCTTGATCCATCTTGAGTTGATTTTTGTATAAGGTGAGAGATGAGGATAAGACTACAAACTGGGTTCAGTGTGTGTGTACTGCTCGGGTGAAGGGTGCAACAAAATCTCACAAATCACCACTAAGGAACTTACATATGTAACCAAACACCACCTGTTTTCCAAAAACCTACGGAAATAAAAAAATTTTAAAAAATTAACATAGAAATAACACACTTTAAAAAAAAAAAAAAAAAGCAAAGATCTGTGCAGACAGTACCTGGGGCCATGTTTCCAGGGTCCCTGTCCATTTTCCAAGACCTGTGGTGCTCCGGGTCACCCTTCAGGGGTTTCGTGCCAGAGTTCTTCCTGAGCTGTGTATTCTGCCTTTCTCTGTTGCCAGAGAAAAAGATGGGGTCCAGATTGCTGGTTCTGGAAGAATTTCTAGCACAAGGATCCAGTTTGCCTATGGATGAAGGTGGAGGGAGGCTGAGGGAGCACACTGGACTCGTGGGCCCTGGGAGC